TTAATATTGACACGGTCCCGATTGATCACGTTGATATTGACCACGGTCCCGATTGACCACGTTAATATTGACCACGGTCTCGATTAATCACGTTTATATTGACAACGGTCCCGACTGAAAAACAATGTAACACACACACATGCGGGGGGTGCAAGGGGGCCTTCGCCCCCCCCCCTCCCGCACCCCCTCCGCTAGTCAGGCACAATGGACCTCGCTTTACAACTTGCAAAGTACATAGGACCGTGGTCAATCGGGACCGTGGTCAATCGGGACCGTGGTCAATCGGGACCGTGGTCAATCGGAACCGTGGTAAATATTAACGTGGTCAATCGGGACTGTGGTCAATATCAACGTGGTCAATCGGGACCGTGGTCAATATCAACGTGGTCAAACGGGACGCTCCCCTGGCAAGTACCACTCGTGCCAGAAAGCCGACCAATAACGACCTTCACAGTACCGGGAAAAGGCTTAATGCAATTCCGGGTAATGCCCTTCGGGTTGCACTCCGCCCCAGCCACGTTTTAACGCCTGCTCGATACCATCATCGGCTCCGCGCTCGGATCGAACATTTTTTTATACCTAGACGACATCATTATAATCAGCCGCACGTTCGACGAACACCTAGACTTGCTCGCCGAAGTATTCCGCCGCCTCCGTCAGGCTCGCCTCCGGTTAAACCCAGACAAGTGCTGATTCTGCGTCGACAACCTGAAATATCTGGGGCACGTTGTGTATAGCACCGGGATTCATACGGACCCTGAAAAGGTCAGCGCTGTCGCGAATTGGGCCGAACCTCGCTCCGTAAAACAAGTCTGACAATTCCTTGGAATGGCTTCGTAGTACCGACGATTCATCGAAAATTTCTCGACGCTAGTCGCACCGCTCACGCGACTAACCAAGAAAAACGCCCGCTGGGAATGGGCGGAAGAATTCGACGCATTCCGGCAACTAAAACACGCGCTAACCACCGCGCCAGTACTCGCATTTTAACCGCCGGTTCTTCTTGTAAACGGACGCAAGCACCAGCGGCCTCGGAGCCGTCCTCACCCAATACCACGAGGACGGCGAACGCGTCATCGCCTACGCGAGTCGTACTCCATCCGGCGCCGAAAGAAACTATAGCGCCACGGAGATCGAATGCCTCGCGGTCGTCTGGGGCATACGGAGAATGTGAAACTATTTGGAGGGCTATGCCTTCACCGTTATCACGGACCATCAGTCCTTACGCTGGTTACAGAAACTGGAAACTCCGACGGGACGACTCACTGGTTATTCGAGCTCCAGCAATTCGACTACGATATTAAGTACCGACACGGAGCGCTAAACCGCGTAGCCGACTCTCACGAAAACCAGAAGTAAACGCAATCCAGACGATACATTGCCGCTGGTACAACCGATTGATAAACGAAATCTGACGCGAGCCCGCCGCGCGCCCAGATTATCGCGTAACAAACAACGGGCTCTACCGACACATCCTCCACAGCCTAAACTTTAAAGAAACGGCCGCGGACGAACAATGGAAGCTGTGCGTGCCCTGCGAGCAACGCACGGAAATCCTTCGACGGTACCACGATGCCCCCACAGCCGGACACGGGGGGGTCGCGAAAACCACCGCCCGCATCGCCGAAAAATTTTACTGGCCCGGGATGTTTCGCGAAATCACCGGATACGTGCAACGCTGCCCGAAATGCCTGGCGCACAAACCGCTCTAGCAAAAACCAGCCAGAAACCTGTATGCAACCAACGTCACACGGCCGTGGGAACACGTCACGGTCGATCTCGTGGGCCTGCTTCCACGATCGCGTCGCGGCCACGTGTGGCTGTTGGTCATGCAGGACCGATTCACAAAATGGGTCGAACTGACGCCATTACGCCAAGCCACAGCGAAGGCCGTAACACGCGAGATAACCGAGCGAATAATCCTGCGACACGGCCAACCTGATATTGTCATATCGAATAACGGCACCCAATTTAAGTCCGCGCCGTTAACCGAGAGGCTTACAGCCTTCAACATCGAACACCGTACCGCGCCCGTCCGCACATCACACTGTAATCCGGTAGAGCGTACAAACCGGACCATTCAAACAATGGTGGCGCAATACGTCGATCGCGACAACCGCGAATGGGACGAACATCTGCCCGCGTTGCAATTTACGTATAACACCGCCACGCACGACGCCACGGGGTACACATCGGCGTACCTGAATCATGGTTGAGAGTTAATCCCGCCCGACCCCACCCTTCCAACACCCACGGAAGCCCCAGAACCAGACATCATCCGCCAACGACTCCAGGACGCCGAGGAAGTGGTACGCATTAACCTGGCCAGAGGATTCCAGAGGCAGCAACACTATTACAATATGCGGCGGCGAGAATGGCGACCGAAGTTGGGCGAATACGTATGGAAGCGAGACTATCCGCTGTCCAAAAAGGCGAACGCATTCAATGCGAAACTCGCGCCAAAATTCGTCGGCCCGTTAGAAGTACGTCGGTTTATTTCGTCGGTAATCGTCGATCTCCGGAGCAAACGCGGGAAATGGTACCGCCATATACACATCCAGGATCTAAAACCCGCTCCCGGCGAAAACAAAAACAATAATACCGACGACAATAACAATACAGAAGATCCAGAAGAAAATAACAGCGAAATCGACGAAAACAATAACGGGGAGGACAACGAAGAAAACAACCCCACCATGAGCTAAAAAGCAAAATCGATGGAATGATAGCAATCGAAATAGATCACGAGCCCAGAAGCTCTCGAGATGAACATCAAACAGGACATTCTCGAGGAAATCAATAAGCTCCTGAGAGAGCCCGAGCCACCTTACGGCCCGGGCGTGCTGGAAGCACCACCGATCTATCGGCCGCCACCACCACCTAGGCCGCCAAAAGTAGAGACCGCAATACAACGGTCCGATTATGTATGTGTTCGAAAATAGGTTTAGTTACTGCCAGCAAAAACAGTGTAGTTGGCAGCAGTGAAAATTACTGATGCTGCGTTTCGATTTTACTGCCAATAAATGCCAGTAAAACGTAAAACTGCTGAAGTGGTTCCAAGCAATCGTAAAAATAATTTTGAAAAAAATTGTATGTTTAATTTGTTTTTTAATATTGATAAAAGTTTAAAGAAATGGAGAAGAGATGGATTAAGCAATCCAGTATTTCTCTATGTGAAAAAAACAATAATAACCAACAACTAATAAACTTAAAATTAGTCGAAGAGACAACAAATGTGGAATATAATCTAAAAGTAAATAAAGATGTGTATAATCGTGCTCATAATGGTATGATTTTATTATAATAATCTATATTTTACATAATAGCAATCATTAATATAACATTTATGATACATTATAAACAACTCAAAAATGAAGGTTAAGGGCTTATCCAGACAAACTTGCATAGATGCATCAGCATATGCATAAGGAAAATGGACTAATCAATTTCTTTAAGCATACGCTTATGTATTTATGTAAATTTGTCTGGATAGGCCCTAAGTTGTTGTAATGATTATTTTCTTATATATTTATATTATCATTATTGTTTTTGCAGACATGATTTTTGCTACTACATTATTAGAAAAAGCTAAATCGTTGCAAAATCCTAAAGATATTTTTGTTCAACATAATTCTGCTTCAAATGATATAAATGTGACGGCAAATGATAATAGTAAACCTAGTTGTTCAAACATAACAACTGCAGTTTCTAATACGATTGACGAAAATATATTTGATGATAATATTCCTTCTGAAACTGAACAAATTTCAGACACGTCAGATACAGATAAGATTAAGTAATAATAATGTGGAAACAAGTGTAATAATTACTTTTTCCATTTTAGAAATAATTAAAGAAAAGTGGGAGCGCATGGCTATTCTGCTTCTGATATCTATATACAAAGAAAAATCACACATGCTGGGAAAAAGCTCCCCAAAAAAATGTGGTTAGAAATTTCTCGATGCATGAAACAAAAAAAATATAATTTTACAGCTAGTCAATGTAATAATAAAATGGATGCTTTAAAGAGACGATATCGTCAAACTGTTGATTATAATGCGCAAAATGGAAGCAATAGGAAAGTTGGATATATTTAGATATAATATGGTGACACCATAGTACTTATAATCATAAAACTATTATATCGCTTTTATATAGTGAAATAAAAAACGAAAATTACGTATTGTATCTCATTTATGCTATTTAAAATAAAAATAAATAAATTTATTTATTTACGTGTAGAGATAAAAATAAAATAGAACAATAAATGTTGAACAAATACAAAAATATAATAATGAGAATGAAAGAATAATGAATGAACAAAAGGAGAGAGAGAGAGAGAGAGAGAG